TGTTATTTGCATAGAACGTGCTGGTTGTGTTGGCGTAGTAAGGGACAATTTACAGGTGGAAAATTATATTATGGGTTTGACTTAGGCTCTACATTAGTTGATAAAATTTAAATGAGGCAGACTGTGTATTAAGGCTACATGAAGAGTATGAAGTGACAAGAAAAAGAAATGAGGAGCTAGAGGATCGTATGCTGAACCTCGTTGAACAATGTGATTTGGATAAACGGGCGGCTGATGAAGAGATTGAGCGACTGTCAAGGTTGGTTGTTTCCATTTTTTTTCAGGTAGTTTAAATTTGCACATATAATGCTTGGACTTTTAGTTAAATCCCTGAATTTCTATTCTTTTAAAAGTCATTTGATGTGCACGATTATATTTGCTTCGTTCTAATCTACTTTTTCCATGATGATGAACCTGAGTAACAGGAAGACTGCATTAGTTTCGGCGTTTTCTGCACTGTTTTTGGCTATGGAAGATATTTTTCGTTCTACGTTTTGTGTTGGAAAATGGAACTCAAACTGACGAATAAGTTAAGATATATTTCAGCTAAAAAAACTTCAGAACTTAATTAGATTTATAGGGTTTTCATAGTCTCGTGATACCTGTTTATTTGGAAGGTATTGATTTAGATGTACTAGCCTTGTTAATTACTTGAACAGCGTCACAATTTTTAAATTAATTATACAGCTTTCTTTTGCTTTTATCTAAATAGTTTTTAATTTACATGTGGGGTTTGATATTTTAGGTCATCTCTGCTTCCTTCTCCATGGGAAGAAGACGTGAAATCTACAGTTTTTTTTTTAGAAATTTCAAAGTGCTTTTTCAAAGAATTTTTATGCATTTGGTTACAGAGCATTAAACCCATTTATAAAAAATGTTTTTAAATATACAAATGGTCCTCAGCGAATCAAAATTACTTTCAGTGAGCTATGCGCAGCAGAGACTAAAGCGACCTTTCTGGAAAATGAATGCGTTGGTTACCCCGTCATCATTTTTAATAATTAAAAGATCTTGGTTATTTTCCTGCCTAGTATTATCACAGAATACACATGCTTTTCTTTTCAGTGGCGTTATAATAGGGTTTTTTACATTTTTAGGCAAAGTATAAGAAGGATTGCATCCTTGCAGTGCACTTGTTACATTGTCAACCTTCGCGTTATGTCGCTAGTCAAGTTGCTCCCAATATTTCATCTGTGATACCAGATGAGGAGACTGAGGTATTATTATAATAGCTGCGATAAACCTTGTTGGTTTAATCTCCAATTTTTGGCATTTAATGAGAAGTGGCTTGGAAGAAATTGTTTTATTAATTCTTGGTCATTCTAGAATGCACAAGTTGTGCACACTTTTTCCACATTTCCTCCGATGGCTGTTTATCTTCCTGGAGATAACTTAAACGAGGGTACAGAAGCAGGAAGAGAGTTGACAGTTAGTTGCTCCAAATATTATTTTCGCATACTGTTTATTGTTCGATTCATTTGTCACTTTTCAATCTATTTCATTTTTTTCGAGACTTGCAGAAGATAAAACCGTCGCCGAGTTTCACTTCACAGTTCATTGAAAGAATCGAAAACGACGAAGACTACAGGTTAGTCATCATTTAAGTAGTTGTAAAGCAGAGGTCAGTTTTCTTTATTGTAACTGTTCATTGTAGTGTCCATCATTTAGCGAGGAATTTACATGTTTTGCTTTGGTAATGTTTTTGATTTACTCGCACTTCTTGTTATTTTCTTGGTATTAAGATATGTGGAACTGAGGAAATGCGAAAAATGTTCAACTGTTGTAACTGTTATTTCGCGAGAAACGCAAACTCCTCTACCAGAACTACCTCGTCCGAAAATAATGGAAATTGGTGAGAGTTCGTTTACTGGTAAAGGGGCTGTTCACGTCGTTTAATCTGCACGAGTACGATAATACTTGGTATAACATCTATATACATTTGCTAATACGAGCTATAAACAAAAGTAAGAAGGTTGGACTGGAGATTTTAGAGAAGATTCGAGGTAGAGTGGTGACATCAGTTTTTTGGAATGCTCATTTTTAAGACTTTTTGGCGTTGGTTGAGTTCTGAATCTTCTACGTTTTTTTGGGTTGGTAGCGGAAGCGGTACAAATACTGGGCTTTCTTTGGAATGAGGGGTTTAGAAGGCTTAGAGTTTCTCATTCTTTCTTTTTGGGTGAGATCATGTATATAAGAATTGTTTTAACTGTCAAACTTTTCCGGTTTCAACTGTCTTTCTGTCGTATATCGTCTCTTTGAGTGTTATTCGCTGATCTGCGTACGATTTGTCTTTTAATTTTACAAACAACTTTATTTTTGAAGCAGAGAAATTGATTGTGATGGCATTTTTTAACTGGATTATGTTGGATTTTCAAAGGCGTTTTAGAAAATGAATGTATTTTAGTTAGCAATAAGTAGTTTGCAGAATCATAATTTTTTTAAAAACCATTTATAATTTTACTAATTGTTGGGTCTGCTCATAACGCTGCGCGGCCATCTCAGTTAAAAACTTCTAATTACTTCCTATTGCTTGTTTATAAATTGTTGCTATTGTGATTAGTACAGTCGTACTATTGCTTCTTTCTTTCACCTTCTGTTCTTTCAATTTTTTTGAAAATACGGTTTTATGGATATTTGTTGGAAGTTTTGAAGGATTTTTGGATATTGTGTGTCGTTAATTGTTCGCACGTAGTATATTTACAGCCACTGGGACAGGATGACGGATTTTATTGTTTTTCAGCATTAACACTTTCATCTGTTATGGTTGGTTGTGGTAGCAGTGCTAGTAATTCAGGAATTTTACTTTTAATAGCATATTTTACAAACATCTGGATACATTACAAAGTGAGATTTTCTACTGTACAACTGAATACTGTTACATTTTCATCATTGACATTCTTATTAACATCATTTAAAAGAGTTTTTTTAAGCCGAGTTGGTCTTTAGAGCTCTTATTAAAACTACCTTCCATTTTTCAGCTTTTTTTATCGGAATGGGCTTAAAACCCCGGGGTCGTAATAAATTACGGGTTTCTTGGGTGCTTAAGGAGGTTCAGTTATGTAACTAATAATCATCAAATATACAATATTGTCCTGAATTCTTTTGTATTATTTCTCGTTGTTGTCTAACGATGATAATGCTAATTAGCCAAGCAAAACAGGCCAGCGTAAAAAAGGTTAAAAGTCCAATAGATTGGACCTGGGTAAACTCCTCTGTCCATAAGTCGTCCAGAGCTGACAGTAGAAAATATAGGACCGCAATCATGCTGGAAAGCAACATTTGATTTTCGAGTGCCAACTTAGCATATTATGCTTTACTATTAAGTTATCATTACTGATTCGATGGTTTACTCAAAATTAGTTCTAGTTTTACTGGTTGTTGGACGCTAAGCATATATTCAACTTCTGTACAGAACTTCGATGTATATAAATGGGTCCTTTGTAGTTAGGGGTAGGTGTCGACAAGGAAATAAGAGGGAAAGAATGAAAGAACCTGAAGATGAGATGAAAAGATGCACAAAATATATACGGTAGCATAAGGTTTGCTATGTTGTATCGGACTCCGTACACTAACGCGTATGATATGATAATGTTAATCAAAAACATCACGATTACACCACCTAAATGGTAAGATACAACTAAACCTATTAGTTGGTCAAATGTAAGGGATGGAATTTTTTTGATTTCTGCTCAGGGGATTATTAGCATATCTTCAAAAACTTTAAAAATTTGAAATTTGTCTGGGATATTTGGGCTTTTTCACATAAAATCTTAGTAATGATGGGCATGTATGTCCGATATTTCGCATTTTTTTTTACCGAGTCTTTCAACTTTAA